CAGAATATATAGTTAAAAAGTATAAAAGACATCGTGTTATTCCTCAATCAATTTTTGAAGAATTATCTTAAATCAATTTAATAAAGTATAAATATCAATCACGTCGTGTATCATGTGATCCTTATATAAATTTATAAATTTGACACTTTTTAGTCACATGATTTTATATGTTTATATGTAATTAATAAATTTGGCACTAAAAAAAAAATTTACTGTGACTAGATGATATGAGCCAATATAACTTATATAGTTACAATTTGTTTACTTTATATTTAAATTTAATAATTTTTAAATTTATTAAAATAAGATTTTAAAAAATATATGATTTAATTAAAAATTGAATTAATATTTAATTTTATAATCAGTTATCATTTTTTTTATAAATAATATATATAAATTTTATCATAAAAAATATAAAAAATAACTTTTTAAAGTTTTTTTTTTCTATTATAAATTATTATATATTATAATTATTGATTTTATTTTAAATTAATAACATATTTAATATATTTATTTTAATTTTAACTAACTTTTTAAAAAATTATTTTATTATTAAAATAAACAAATATTATAAATATAAAACATTTAAGTAAATATTATTTAATTTATCTGTAACTTTAGATTATCTAGATTATATAATATTACTTAAAAAATAAACGTTTATTTTTAAATAAGAGGTTGAGTTCGTTATATTACAAACTTTAAATTAATTTAATAAAATATACTTGATCACTGCTGCCACCTGTCATCAAAGATTATAAATTCATCATGATCTTTCAAGCTATAGTGATTCATTTAAGTATAAAGACTTAATGAACTGTGATAGAGGTGACACATAAGAGGTTGCACAAATATTATGAGAAATAAATAAGAATAATTTTGTTAAACATAAAAGAAAGTGTTTTATTAAAGTATTATAACATTATAAATGATTGCACAATTATTATTGCTAATTCTTTGCATTATATTCCTCCTAGGTTAATTACTTTAAGATTGCTTCCTTCTTTAATAATTCTAACTTATCCTATTTATATATTTTAAATTGATCTAAAATTACAGATATATTAAATAATTATTACATAAGAATTGACTTTAACTATCTAATCATTGCATATATATTTCATTGAATAATTACTATATCATGATTATGTAAAAATCACTAATTTCTTAATTATGATTTAATATTTTTTCATAATTATTACATTTACTCCTAATTTTAGATGTGGTATATCATATCAAGTAATACCAATTTCATTAATCAAGATTTCAATTTATGATTATATTTTCATTATGAGATCATTTGCTGTAGTTTCTTTGATGATGAATATTAATTATGCTTTTTGTATCACATTTCTAGTTATTTGATTTGCTATGTCTCATTTTCACTTGAGTAATAGTAAATATGACATTTAGAGAAATTTAATAAAATATATAGTTAATAAAATATAATATAAGAGCTTTGCAATAGAAAGGGAGAAAACTCCAAAAAAATTAATTCTAAGCTAATTATGATTTTTTTAGTAAAATAAGTTCAGATTTAATATTAACTCAAAAAAAATTTTTTTAGAGTTTCCTTCCTTTCTATTGCAAAGTTCTCATATGAAGTAATAATTATACAATTAAATATAATATTTATAATATTGTAATTTTTAATAAAATTAAATTCCTTTATTTTAATAAATTACATTTTCATTTGATACAATTTATATTATTTATTTATTATATATAATATATTAAAAGTTTATAAACTATTGAAATAGACTTAATTAAAAGTTTTTTTTCAATATTAGAATAATTGAAATTGATTTGCAAAAAATATTTACTCATAATAAAAATATTTTATTTAAATAAATAAAAAATTCTCTTATATTTCAATAGTAATACAATCAAAGTTAGATATAATAATACATTTGTTTTACTTAAAATATATTAACATAATGAAATATCATTATATTAAAATAATCTTTCTTTATAATATAGTAAAAAAAATATATAATAAATCAATAAAAATGATTTTTACAATTTTGTATTATAATAGGAATAATTACACCTTTATGCAGTAATTAGTTTTAAACATATTTTTAATTTTATATATTTTAAATAAGATTTTGAACATATAAAATTGTATTCAAACCTGTTCAAAACTATTTAAAACTATATAATATTGTCTAATTGTCTAACACTATATCTATTAATGATGCTATTCAAAACCTATTTTAACATATTGTTTAAAATTTTAAATGATATTTTTTTATAAATCTAAAATTTGATTAAACTTAATTGAGTATAGAAAAATCTATTAAAAGTTTAAGTAAAAATATTAATTATAAACAAATAGTTTAATCTCAAATATCTTGAAACTTAAATTTTCTAATAATAATTTAGGAAAGTATCTTAGCTCTTATATATAATATTACATATCATTATATATAAATTTTATATCATTATTCCTTAAATAATAGGATTTCGCAGAAAAATTTGCCTGCTTATTTACTATATAATATATTAACAAGTTTTGTCTTTTAATTATATAATAAAAAATTTAATATTACTTAGAAGCTAAAAATTTGAAATTTTTTAAAAAAATTTATATTAAAAAATTATATAGAATGGTTACTAGGAAAATGAGGCTCTGAGCATTTTTTATTAAAATTTTAATTTTTATTGCATTTTAATCCAATATTATCAAAAATCAAAATGCAATAAAAATTAAAATTTTAATGAAAAGTGCTCAAAGCTCATTTTCTTAGCAAACTTCCCATATGATAATTTACTATAAACTTTTTAAATTTTACTTTTAATTATTTTAATCAAAATAAAACATTATAAAAATAAAAACTTTTATTATATAATTTTTATAATTTATTAAGAAAATTTATAATTTTAATTAATGATAAAGTGATTCAATTAATTCAATTAGTACGCAAATATATAAACTTTTAAAGAATTTTTAAAAAATTATTATAATAAAAATTTTAAAACTTAATTTAAAATTAAATTATTTAAAAATCTTTTAAAAACTTAAAATTTTTGTTAATAAAAATATATTAAACTATATTTTATATATAATAATGATATTACTAAAATTAATATTTAATATTTTATAAAAAAATTACCACTTTTTTAATTTTACAAACAAATTTATCTGCTATATAGTTGAAGAGATATGTAAATAATATTATACAGTAATACTAAAAATATATATGATGTTTGTGATATATTTCATAATATATAATAAAAAGATTTATTAATTAAAATTAATATATAAAGCTAATTTAATTATAATTGTTTTGAACAAAAAATTTTTTATTATTATAAGATTCTATTATTATATGAAAGGTTTGCTAGAAAAATGGGGCTTTGAGCATTTTTTTATTAAAATTTTAATTTTTATTGCATTTTAATCCAACATTATCAAAAACTAAAAATGCAATAAAAAATTAAAATTTTAATAAAAAATGCTTAGAGCCCCATTTTTCTAGCAAATATTTCATATAATAGTATCAATATCTAATTTTTGCTGTAAATAATATTAAGCTTAAAATTGCTAGATAAAATCTAAGGTTTAATTAGATGTCTAAATGATAAAGGTAAAACTTAGTTAAATTATATTTAAAAAATCTGCAAAATTTAAAAAAAGTTAAAATATATTAAATGGAAAATTATATCAAAACATTAGTAAAAATTTAATGAAACTAAATATTTAAATGTTTAGTATAGTTATTAATAGTTTGATCAGTTTAGTTTCAATTTAATTTTTAGCAGTTTGAGAGTAAAATTAAGTTGTAAACTAATTTTTAAACCAGTTTAAATTTTGTAATCTAAGTTGATATAAACTATTTAGTCTTAAATATTAAAGCAAATCTAACTATCAAATATTAAAATTTTTTTATTTTAACAAAAAAAAAAAAAAATATATAAAAATTATTATTAAAAATTAACAAAAAAAAATTTTAAATCTAAATCTATAAAATATATAACAAAAAAAAATTATTTTTTACAATTTTTTAATTTTATTTTTTTTTGAAATCCAATTTTTATAAAAAACCTTTTTTGATAAAACTACTATTAATAAAATTTGTTAAATAATTCAAGAAAACTGAAATATTATCATTATTTCATAAAAAATATCATTAGATATATTTGCAAATACAAAATGATTAATGGCCATCAGTTACATAGCATTATATATTTAATTATCTAAATTGTATAAAAATCATTTCAATTTAATTTAATGAAACCAGTTCTATAATCAGACTATAATCTGAACTATCTAATCATAGACCTTAACATTTTTAATGTTTAGCCCAATCCAATATGAGTTTAAATAAGCAATCTTAGTTGATTAAGTATTTATATTTAACGTTAAATAATAATTATATAATTTAATTTTAAAAATAGTAAATTTTTATTATTTTTAATAATAGATAACAGTAGAGTTGAAATTATAATATCATTTATTTGTGAAGTTATAATATAATTAACTTAATTTTTTATCTAAAAATAGACATTTTATTTTTCATATATAATAGATTTAAGATAATGTTAGATAATATAATAAGTATAATGAATTATTAAGCTGAATTTCTTAGTATTATTTAGTTAATAATATTGGTTATTATTATTAATATGTCATCTACTTTACTTATTATCATATTATAATTAAATTTAATATAATTATAATATTATATAAATATAATTGTAATTACTAATCATGATTCATATTGATATTTAATTATATTTAATTATAAGATCTTTTTACTAATTAAGATAAGAACATATATAATTTAATTAGAAATAATATTATATCTATTAATTTATATCAGTTATTTATAACAATTTTTAGCTGTATTACTTATTTGTATAAAAGATTTTATTTCAAATATGATATTCGAAACAATTAAAAATATTCTAATCTATTACTCTAACATTTTTTACAATAATATCGAATGTACAAAATCAAATTTAATCTAATGCAAAAAAAACCCCCAAATTGAAATTTATAAACATGAAGTAATAAAAGGACCTTGATATCTTTCTTTACTTTTTCTATAAACCAGATAAATTCTAGCATCTTGGTCTAAGACGGAATTTCCTACAAATTTAACTTCTTTTAATCTACTGTGTATTTCCAATTCCTTTATATGCTCCTTTTTAAATTCTTTACTACCAATTGTCAATATTTCTAATTTATGAAATTTATGCGTCACTTGTATTAATTCCTAAAAATGAATAAAACAATTAAAACTATAATATATATCTATCTCTCTTAATCAACAAATATTATTATTACTTACATCGGGACTTAATCCTATCATGTTAAACCTTAAACCTAATGTTCTAATATTATGACATTTTTCGGCTAAACTTTCCATCAAATTTAAATCAAATTTTGGACAAGGCTTATTCACAGTAGAATCAGCAGTAGCCAGATCATCACTCCTAATATCTAAAACTTCGAGAAAACTTTCATAATTATTCTTAATCAATTCCGTTACAATGGTAGGAGTCATTCTTGGTCTGTTTGTAAAACCAAATTCCTGTAATCTTTTGCAATTCTTTACGATGTTCGTTAAACTTAAATGAGTAATATTCAAACATCCGAATATCGTACATTTTCTTAAATTTTTACAATTTTCAGCCAAATCACTTAAACCCAAGTCTGTTAATTGGTTACAATGCATTATGGTGAACCTTTTTAATTTATTATTTCGATACTTTGCTAATGCCATTATCGAACAATCCGATAAGCTGGTGCAAGATCTGATTTCCACGGATTCTAATTGATGACAATATCTTGCAATTGGTAAAAAAGAATCATCCGATAACCCATAAGCTGAGTCCAGTTCGATATGTTGAAGATATGGTTGTCCTTGCACCCATAATCTAGCGAAATATTCAAATCCACTATAAGAACCAAATCTTAAACTAAACGACTCTAAAGGAGGAAAATCTATCGCTACAGCCAATGCAGTCTCAGAACTTTTTACATTAGTAGATTTATAATTAGTTCATCAATTGTAAATAAGATATCTTTCAATTCTTTATCTTGCTCACCTAAGATAAGGAAATTCCAATGATAAACATTTTAATTTTGAACAACCTGTGGTTAAGATGGTAAAACCCGCACCGGTAATATTATTACATCTAAAACTTTTTAAATTAGGAAATGAATTGACTATAGTAGTGGCTAAAGTATTTGTTACTAAACAAGAGGTTATTAAAGTTGTAAGTAAAGGGCATCTGTTCCCCACATCTCTTAAGATATCATGTTTCCATTCAGATCTCCAGTTTGATAATTCTAAATGTTGAAGCTTTGAACACTTGCCATCTCTAATTGGTCGTAACGCATCACCTAAAGAAGGAAGTTTATGACCGGATATTGCAAATGTGATTAATCCAGGACAATTTACCAAGAACATTTCTATCGTTTCGGCCGAGTAAACGCGGTTAAAAGTAAGATGCTTTATGTTTTTACACTTTTCAGAAAGGATTTTTACATCAGATATTGGTATTGAAATTTCTGGATAATATGATGAATATGAAGCGAATGTTATTTGTTGTACAAAATGTCCATAATTAAATGAAGTTGTGGAGGAACTTCGAAGTGTTCTTATGAACTTTTGAAAGACATTATAAGATTTCCAAGTTGGTTTCTTCCATAATTTGTCAATGATAGCCTAAATATGATACAGTAAAAATTAGCATTTCGTGTGAAATTGCAAAAAAAAAAAAATATTGCAAGAAAAAGAAAGAAAATGAATTCGCACAAGAATGTTTAAAAATCTTTTGAATGATTATAAAATTATAATTGACAAGTTACCAAAGCCCAATAAGAATGTACAAGCAAACCATTAAATAAATCATCCTGATATTCAAAATTTGAAAATATTATGTATAGTAAATCGATATTTAAAAGTGCCGATTGAGCCGAAGTCATCATGTTTGAGATTTACTCTCTTTTTTTAATATACGAAGAAGTTCAATTTTTAAAAAAAAAAAATTTTTTTTTTTTAAAAATAAAAAAATATATTTATTTATTTATTTATTTATTTATTATATTTTTGTTGTCAATTGAAATTAAATTCCCATTGTTTGTCGAAAAAAAAAAATATTAAAATCGAACAATGCGGACATTTTTTTTTAGTAAATTCATTTTGCATGCGACCACTAGCATTTTGTGATGGCAATTTTATTATTTTTTTGATCTCAATTCAAAACAAAAATGGAAAGGTTAAGAGTTTATTGTTTGTGACACAAGCCTAGTGTATCACCTGAGCCTCAGCCATTTACCTCTCTCGATGAATGCAAAGAACAATCGTCTTTGAGAAATATTCGTTTTTCATAATTCGGTAAAATGGAGTGTTTAGGAGTGAAAAAAAAAAGAAAGAATGAAAAATATTAAAAGGGGACAATAGCCTGCCAAAAATAGGTGTGTGTAAAATCGGATTTGAAAAGTGTAAAATGTAACGAATTTTAATCTTATGTTAAGTTCAAATGGTTAATAATTTACGGTATTCAATGAAAAAGATGTTCCGATAATGCGTGCGGATAAAAAAAAAGATGATCAAACTGAAATAGATATTTTTTTTATTTTATCTAAAATCTATTTTTTTATTAGATTAAAAACAGAGAAATCAAATTTTTTTTTAAACGAAAAATATTACAACCTATTTTATATCGAATTGATGTGAACAGCTATAACCATTTTTAGTTGAAAATAAGCCTTTCCATTTTTTTCTACAGTATATTATGCGCCACTTGATTTATCGGAATTATTAGTACTCAAGTTAATTAGAAAAATAAATGACGTAATAATTAATTATCTAGAATGGTAAAAATTCCATTCAACTTTTAAAAAGATAAAGATTTTTGCTTTCAAGGATATATTTATTATCTAAATTTCAATTATGAAATTCTTTCATTGTTCCATTGCAATTTGCAAAATAGATTTAGATCTTTTTTTCATTGTGTAGATAATCAAATATCAAATATCGAAAGAACCTGCAAGGCTAGAAAGAAAAAAAGTAAAAATGAATAAATGTCGAAAGAAACTTACCCAAGAACTTGGAACGTATATATAATCGGGATCGAAGATTTGAATTTCAAAACGGAAACCCCTTCTTAGATTCGAAAATATAACTAATATTGGCGGATTATTAATTTTAATAATTCTTGCAGGATTGTCCAATTGACTTTGGAAAAAAAGTATAGTAACGATACATCCCTTTTTAAACTTTCCGGATAATATGTTTTACAGTATTGCATTATATACATATGTTACACACCGAATCGCGATATAACAAAAATTCGGTCGCTTTTCTAGACTTTCCAATAGATATAACCTTTACCTTAATAGTTTAGGAAATGAGAAACATTCGTGTAATCGTGTAACATTTTATGTAGCGAGAAAACGTGTGAATAAGTAATGAATACATATGTTGCATAAAATAAACATGATGTCTTGAAGTTCAAATTTTATTATCCTTTCTTAACAAGTTTGTTTATTTTTTAATTTTTAATAATATTTCAATGAACTTTCATTTCGTCAATAAAACTTTCTATAAAGGTCTTTTCATTGGTTCAAAACTCGTATGATGGAGTACATCTTCTCGATCAGTGAGAATCTCTGCATTTTTTGGTCAAAAATTAAATATGTCCTGAATTAGTTAGTGCGTTGTTCTCATTGGCTTATGATGAAAATGTTCTGGTATCTTCGGGATCTCCTTAAAAAAAGAGGACTCATTTCCAAACTGTGAAACCGTTCTTCCAAAAAGAAAATAAAAATATAATTTTTGTAACTCCTAAACCATTTTCCCATACTATTGTTCAACATTAACTTCTTCTCAGAGAGAAATTTAATTCGTTACCGCGTTGTTTATATTTTGATAAACAAAGCTTTTTACTACAATATGTTGTTATTTATGAATTTATATAGTTAAGATGTGCATAAGAAAGTAAATAAGTAAATTAAAAAAAGTGATCGTCTAATTAAAAATAAATGAGAATTTTCAGGACATGTTCTTTAAAAGTCAAAGGTACTTTATTTTTCCCGTTAAAAAAAAAAAATAAAATAAAAAATCAAAATGACTTTTGCAAGAGTAAATTTTTATTCAAAGAAGAAGAAAAAGGGAATTATATGATTTATTGTTCTTTTAGGTGAAAGTGGGTCTCATACAACCATATAAATAAATTCAAATTATTGGTGAAGTGATAAATAAGTGATAGTATGCATCTTAAATAATTTATTAATCAATATGATGATTGATCTTCAATAAATTTAGTCAGTTCGAAAGGTTATCATTATAAACAAATGTGAATGTTAGTGACAAGATAGTGAAACATCTAATAACAGGAACTTCCTTGGGATTGATAATTGTTTCAACTTCCTCTCTCCAAAAATGTATCGAATTAAGAGATTCTCTTTTTGTTCCTTTAAATGCTTTATTCAATGTCATTCACACCATTCATTATATTATTTAGCATACATATTTTTTATTTAAAAAAAAGACATTTTGACTCCTTATTCAACATTCCATTCTGAGGTATGTTATATGTTTGTGTAACCTAACAATCTCAACCTTTGTTCATTTCGCTTGATAGGTCATGAAGAAAAAATATAAATGATCATAATGATAATAAATAAAATTGACGAATTATCATACAAAGGGTGCTAACAAAATTCTGGGTTCTCGATAAAAAGATTAAAAAGATTGTTCATTTTTCACATTTTATTAATCCCGCGACGATGAAACTATCAAAAAAAAAAACTTTACAAAATAGTCACGAGTCAAAAAAAAATATTTAATTAATACTGTAATAATAAACTGTATGTGTGAAAAGAGAAATGAAAAAATAAAAATAAAAATAAATATTTTCCCTTGTTCAATGAAACCTTTCCATTTCGTCACACAATTAAACCTTTTTTTGTAATGATGATGACTACATACATGTGTAAACTTTAAAAAAAACTCACCCAACAAGAAAAAATTTATATCAATTATTTTTGAGCCAATGAATATTCTGAAAAAAAAAAATGATTAGGTTTTTAAGGGGAAAAAAAAGACCTGCCGACGTTATCGAACTCTTCCGATCCGAAGATCAACCTCTTTTACAACCAAAATATTCTGGGATGTGTATAGCTCGTTTTCTTCCTATTTCGCTAATCGGATTTCCTGTTTGAGTGTAGTGCAAGGATGTTAAGGCGTAAAGACTCACTAAACCAAGATTGAAATTGATATGGGTAATAGCAAGGTTTTTCCGAGCAAGTCCGAGATTTTTCCGCTCTTAATGATCTTTTTTTCTTTTTTTCTTTCCAACCCTTTCCTCTTAAACTTAAAAAATTTCATTTATAAAACTCTTCCTCCCAAATTTCTTGTTGTGTTACCTTCAAAATAGTTTCAAACGATACCTTGTTAGAGAAGTGTTTGATTATTTTTTTTTTACCAGAAGAAAAAAAAAATTTATAACTTATTTGGATATATTTTTTTTTTTGAAATGGTTAATTTATCACTATTTGGCTTGCACTTTTTATAATTGGTTTCCTCATATTTAAACAAAAAAAAACTATTTTTTACTTGCAAAATATTATACGGTTTCCTAAGAGAACCGTTTTTTTTTACAACTACTCTATACATATATACATAATACTCTTTTTAATATGACTAAAAAGAACAACGGTCACTATCGTCTTAAGGTAACAACGGCATGCCAAAATTGTCAAAGACGAAAGATTAAGTGTTCAGGTGAAATTCCCTGTACATACTGTCTAAAGGTTGAACGACCGTGTGAGCCTGGTAAACCAGGTAAAAAGAGAGGTCCACCTCCCGGAACAGAAGTATTAAGAAGTCGTTCTAACCGCATGGAAACCGTATATTATAGTGCCATTAAAGACCCTCAATTAAAAGAACAGCTACGACACCTTTATGACGGGATTCCTGGAGCAAGGTTTTCTTCATATTCACATTCTAATGTGGAACTTACGTCAATTAACGGAAACTTACCTAATGCTGCTGCAATTTCTTCAAGTACGACGTTTTCTCCTATTGTCGAACCCCAGAATGATTCTACCAATGTTATGGTTTCTTCCGATGCTGGTCTTTCGAAAACTACCACGACAACACCTTCTATTCCCAACGTTGACTCTTCCAATCCCACTGAAGTTCCTTCCAACCCCGATGAGGTTTCTTCTGATTCCGCTGATGTTCCTCATCAGCCCACAAAGTTTCTTCTTACACCCACTGATTGTTCGGTATCTTCTAATCCCTCTGGGAGTTCTTCTGATGTGACTGAAGTTCCCTCTATCCCGGTTGAAGTTTCCTCGCTACCCGATGAAGTATCCTCTAATCATGTCAAAGGTTCTTCGGGAACCGCTCAAGTCTCCTCTAGCACCGTTGAAATCTCTAACACCATTGAAGTAACTTCTAATTCCGTTGAATTTTCCTCAAAACCCGTTGAAGTTTCCTTAAGCCCCCTTAATGTTTCCACTGATCCTATTAAAGTTACCTCTAATCCGCCAAAAGTTTCATTAACTTCTTTTAGACCCACGAATGCTTCTTCTGGCTCCTCGCAAGTTTCTTCAAAATCCAAAGTAATATCTAAATCTAAATCAAACTCCGGGCCTATCGTTTCTTATGTACCCATATCTTTTAAACCCATCAATTTTAAATCTATCGCAATGTCACCCATTGCAAACACTTCTAATCCTTATAATCACACTATTAATCCCACCGGAATTTCTTCCATTACCAATGGATTTGATCCCGCTGGAATTTCTTTTGGTCCCGCTGGAAATAATTTTGATCCTACTAGATTTTCTTCTGATACTGCCGTGGTTCCTTCTGAACCCACCATAATTTCTTCTAGTAGTCACAATGGAGTTTTTCCTAACCCCAAAAAAGTTTCTTCTAGTACCGTTGTTCCTTCAGGTTCCGCTGGACTTCCTTCTAATAAAGTTGCTTCTAGTTCAGGATCATCAGGAAAAACTGGAAACCCTAAAGTAGAATCTGAAATACATAACCTTTCAAAGGGAAAATTACCAGAAAAATTAGTACATACGCAAAATACTGTCAAAATACAAGCAAATAATAACCTATTACTTAAACAAAGTTGTTCTAAAGACTCTACAAATAAAGTGTTTGCAACGCGTAGACCCAACAAGCTTAGAAAAATACAGCCGAAACCTCCTCAAGGTATCATAAAATTAGTTAATAATAGCGAGAGGTTTATTACGAAAGTCACAGCGCCACAAGCTATGAAAGTCTCAGAACAACAAACTACGAAGATTACAGAACAACCATCTATGAAAGTCTCAGAACAACAAACTACGAAGATTACAGAACAACCATCTATGAAAGTCACAGAACAACAAGGTGAGAACATTATAAAAATCTTTTACTTAACTCTAGAAGTGTCATTTTTGGTTACTTAAATTTCTAGCTGTTCTTTCGTTACCTTCTTATTTTATCTAGTAAAGGAACGTCAACACCAGAAATCAGAAACTTCTGTTCAAGAATCTGATAACAATGAAAACTCAAATATGCGATTACCGACCATACAAGAATTGGGGGTCTTTGATGACGGACCTCCCCTGTATCGACCGATCGCAACTTATCCAATTAGTATGAAAGTGAGGCAAGAACTTTTTGAAAATATGCAACTTTCACAGATAAGGGATGTTCCTTTGCATTATGCAACAAACAAAACAAGTGAAAGCCAATCGACTGTTTGGACGAAAATACCACGACCAACCTCACCACCTTTACCATCCAAAACATCAATATCAACAACATCACCTTCAACCTCATCGTCTTCACAGACATCAATATCAACAACATCACCTTCAACCTCATCGTCTTCACAGATAACCTCATTATCACAAGTAGGAACAGCTTCACCATTACCGGAGTCATCATTTTCTAAGTTAAATGTTACATCAACCGAATCTTCGGGAAAAATGTTCACATCATCATCGACGTCGATGAAACAAAAAACAACAGAACCTTTACAAAGGGGCACTATAACGTTGCCTCCACTAGTACTAACGGGATCTTATCCTGATTACTCAAAACCTTCGAAAGTTTCATCAGAGCTTACTTTTTCAATATCTGATCAAGTCATACATCCATTACAACCTGGGTTGAATGCGTCATGGAATCGATCCATATTTCCATCGATGCAAACACCAAATGAACCTATTAATTTAAATGATGACTATGTTACTAGTGTTAAACCAAATGAATGTGTTAACGAAAGTGATGTAACTTTATGTACTGACAAAAACGCTAATGTAGAGATAGTACATGATTTGTCGCAAGAAAGCACTTCAACAGAGAAGCTTGCAACGGAGAAATTGCGAGGTTCCTCGTCGGAATCTGCTCGTAAATCTTCATCTAAAAAACTCAATAAGAAAGTACCTTCTTCGGTATCAAAATCAAAAACTACTTTTTTAACGATGTCAACATCAGAATCTGAATCAGACAGTGATCATTTGCCAACGCAAATGACAGTTGAAGCAGTTGAAGAAGTTAAAGAGGTTGAAGAAGATAATGACGAACTGAGGGATGATATACCTGAAGAAGTTACAAGTATTAGGAATAGCAAGAAAAGATACCGAGAACACAAGAATGAATTTTCTACTGCCATAGCATCTTCCTGCGGTATAAAGAGAGCAAAGAAGGAAAAGAGTGAAAAGGAAAAGAGGGAAGAGAAAGATGAGGAAGAAGTTGTTGCTCCTAGAAGAGCTCGTCCGATTAATGATAGGCGCTATCAAAAGCCAAAGAAGAGAATTACTCGAAATGCTGCTCGAAATGCTGCTCGAGAAGCTGCTCTAATGGCATTGAATCCGCTTCCAAAACCGAAAAATATATGGGTGAGGCGTGGTGTGCCCAAAAATAAGATTAATTATAAAAATCACTAATTTAAGTAAATTAATAATATTAATGTTAAAAGTGTTGGTACAAAAAGGTTCCAATCAAATAAATAGAACAAATAATCATGAAAATTTTGATTGCTTCTCGATTATTAATTATGGGAGGTAAAGATTGGGAATCATTCAAAAAAAAATTAGAATCGATTTTAGAATCGAGCGATTTTTAATCGAAAAAATACACTAATAAAATAGAATATATTATTTTCTGATCTCACAATTTTTTATCACGTGACATGTAATTTTGTCGAAATCCCGTGATTGCTTATATAAAAACTGTCTCGTCATACAATTTTACCAAATCATTATTTTTATAAATAATTTAATATTAATAATGGGATAGAAATGATCCAAATATTACTCAATTAAGTAAAGACAAAATTATAAAAACTAATATAACAAAATTGTTGTAATCAAAAATTTAAATGTTTTGATAATGAAGATAACAATGTTGATATGTGGAAATGCTTTTCATGTTTAAAAATCCTATAAAAGATTAGAAAGATATTTTAATATTAATAATAGATTATTATTAGATGATGAAATATTAGATAATAAAAACAAAGAAGAAGAGGGAGAAAAATAAGTAATAAAAGAAAAATATTGGTATACTTTAAAAATGCTTTAGAATTTATAATAACTTGGTAAAATATATTTTAATATACATATATTAATTAATAAAACATTAAAGAAAAGAACGAACGATATAAAAATGCAATAAAATTGCGTAACGGTAAATTAGTTTTTGAAAAAATATCGCATCTTTTTTTTATTACTTTAGAATGTTACACAATATAAAAAATCGACATTTGATTTTATCCCCACGTGATATAACTAATGTCCATTATGCTTCTAAAACACAGGTCTTAATTCGTTTTTAACATGGACCCACAAAACTCTCAAACGGTCAAATATTTTACATATTTTACAAATTACGGATACAATAATAAACATATTTATTTAATCCTTAAGTTTTCAATAATTTCACGACTTTTAACGTGGTTAATAGCATTAATATCAACTCTTATAGTAGATGATTATGATTCATCAGTTGATACGATATTAGAAGGTCGAGAGTTATCAATAGTACAAAAGATATTTAATGTTAGTTTTAGAGCATTTTTAAGATGGGATTCTTTTTATTTTATACATCTGAGTGAAGAGGGATATATTTATGAACAGGAACACGCATTCTTTCCATTGTTACCATTATTAGCCAGAGGTTTAAGTAATTCAGGTAAGTCAAAATCAAAGTTTTTTTTTTTTATAACCCAAACTAAATCTCTTTTTGATATTTTATCATAGTATTTTTACCTTTGGGATATTTTTTAACATATAAGCAGATATTACTCTTATCGGGAGTTTTAATAGTTAACATTTCTTTTATTTTGGCATCAATTAATTTATACAAGTTAGTAAAATCAATTTAATTTAATTATACGTATTTTAATACTTACTAACCTTCATTTTTTATTTTTGTAGATTAAGTCTTTTAATATTTAATAATAATGAACAATATGCATTAGTAACATCAATATTTTACATATTAACACCATCTGGCATGTTTATGTCGGCAATGTACACTGAAAGCTTATTTGCACTTTTAAGTTTCTTAGGTATGAGATTATTTTATGAGGGAAAATTATGGAGTGCAGCTTTTATTTGGAGTTTATCTTCATTCACAAGATCGAATGGAATCACGCAGGTTGGATTTTTTGTGTACAAATTCTTAATCAAAGATATAAACAGGATTAATGGGATTAATGCAAAGGTAAGTAATACATTGATGATTTTAGGCAATGAGAAGTTTAACAAACTAAATATGTTTTTGCAACATTTATTATTTCCAGGTTATATTTGTAAGGTTGATAAAGACTATAATTTTAAGTTTTATAGTTCTCCTTGGATTTTTAATCTTTCAATGCTATGGTTATTATCACTATTGCATTTTATATTTGCCACAAAGACCATGGTGTAACGGTACAATACCGTTGTTATATTCCTTTGTTCAATCCTTTTATTGGTAAGTTGGATTCAATTATTATAATGAGACCTTTTAAAAATTATTTTTTAAAATTTAATAAATATGAAATCATTTGTAGGAATTGTGGGTTTTTAAATTATTATGAAGTCAAACAAATTCCAAATTTTTTGTTAGCGTCCCCAATGATATTTTTATCATTCTATGGAATATATAGTTACTCTAAATTTGATTTCAAAAGGATATTAACACTAGGATTACAACAAAGATCCGAGACTACGTTAGAATCATCATCGTCACCTTATCATGGAACGCATGAATTATTACCATTCATTTACTTATGGGCAATCTTATTAGTATACTCGATTAATTTTATGCATGTTCAAGTAATTACAAGGTTTTTCTCCTCACAACCTATAGTCTATTGGTTTGTCACCGATTTATTTATTAAATCACTATCCGAAGACGCAAGCAGATGGGATAAATTTTTAGGATATGGAATGTTGGTTTATTTTATTTTATATGGTGGAAGTGGAATTATTCTTTTTGCAAATTTTTTTCCACCGGCATAAATATTTTTCAATTGTACATACATTTCAAAAGTAATATTATTAAGATATAAAACATTAACTCTAGATATTTATTTATTCTATATAATTGTTAATTATTACTTTCTTTCATTTCACCTTTTTGATAAATGAAGATTTTAGTATCATTATTCACAAGAAATTGTGATCTCCAAACGTTAAACGTGTCCATAAAAGTTTTCATGATAGGTTCTTTTGATTCACGTATAAAATGGGGATACTTTTGCTGAAATGATGAAGTAGCTTCTTTAAGATGATAATGAGGTATTGCGGGGAAAAGATGATGAACTTGATGAGTTCCAATGGAATGAGTCACCTTATGTAAAATACCGTAATCTCGATCTACCGATGAAAGGTTACCGACGACGTAATTCCATTGATCATCCGAGAACCAAGGTAATTTCAAGTTTTCTTCAACGCCATGATGATGAAGAAAAGTTGTAATTACCAACCAACTTGCAAACACGATCCAAGGAAGAAAATAATATTTTATAATCGAAAAGGTACCAAAAATACTTGACAAGTAAATTAAGAATGATAAAGTAATAAAAACTGTTGATACAGAAATTGTCGCTCCCAAATGATTTTTACGAAATAAAGGATGAAAGGGGTTTATGTGAGAAACAGCTCTTGGTCCGTAACCTTGTATCAAATAAACTAACCAACCCACGCCAAATCCAAAGTAAGGGATAATTTTCGTATCATCATCATTACCATTCATTTTAGCGGCTTCGACTTTTCTGACGGGATGAAACACCTCATCTTTATCGATATTACCGGTATTTTTATGATGATGACGATGACTTAGTTTCCATGGAGTATAAGGGACGAGTATTAATGTATGCAAGAATGTACCGACTATATCATTTAATAAAGAGTATCGACTAAAACTACCATGACCACAATCATGTCCTAAAACAAATATAGCCCAAAACAAAGTACCTTGAGCGAAAGTATATGATGGCAACAAGATAAAATATTTTATAATCAAAGGAATAGATGTGATTGAATTTAATTGGTAGAATGTCAAGAATAGTATTGATACGATTATCAGATCCCATGCCACATATTGAAATGATCTTTTCATTGATGGATTAAAATATATTGAAGGAATGTTTTTTTTAATCTCTAGGATCGAAGGTACGTTATCTTTTGTAAAAATCGTCGGCTCTTTTGTAAAAGTTTCCTTTTGATAATTTAATGATGTTACTTTATCAACTAATATTTCTTCGGTTGATGAATCAATAGTAGATTGATCGGGAAAAGGTTCAAGTGGTGACATATTTGAAACGGAAAGCCTCGAAAGAAATTCTTTTATTGTTATAAAAGAAAAAAAATATATTTTTCCTAAATTATTTTTTTTTTTTGGCTGTGTAAAAAAAAGGGAAAGGAGTTTTTTTTTTAAAAAACTTAGAAGCACACATATTTATACAAAAATTTTGTGCTGAATCCTTCAAAAAAAAAAAATTAGAAACAGACCCCTTTTACAACTCAAGTATCGATAATCAGAAAAAAAATTTTTTTTTGTGGTTTGTCGCACATACATAACGTGCTGTAAACTTTTAATTCTTTTAATGTAAACAAAACAAAAACAAATTATTTGTTAAAAAAATGTATCATTGTTTGAACGATTTGCATTCTTTTAATGAAACATTATTTAAAGATACAAGTTTCTTCTTAAAAAAAATTGCAAAAAAAAAGGTGTTTCGGTCGTATTATTGGATTTAAATTCATATTGCTGTTGTACTATACTTTTTAAGCCCGAGAATGTGGTGATTACGGATAGATTTAAAGTTGCCTAACCGCATTATTATATGAACGATAATTAACCTGTGAAAGAATGTTTCCAGAGAAAATTAGGTAGATATATACTAGGCAGTGCAACATGAACAATTCGTGTTTGCATATGAGATCTGTAGAATCTAAAATTTTTATGCTAACCATTATTCTTTTTTTATCCTATTGGCATGATAAGATTTTTTTAAAAAAATTTTTTTTTTTTGTTAATCATATTATTTATTATTTATTAGTATTATATGTTTTTAAAAGTATTGTTTTGATAAAGAATATTTATTATCGTTAAATGATTTCGTATTGTTGTTTATTCGATAACAAGTTGTTTTTGTTTTTTTTTTTTGGTTTAAAAAGAATCTTTAAGATTTCTTTATATAAACCAATTTTTTTTACATGTAAATTTAATTATAAAAGAATCAAAAATAGAATTTCTTTCTGCGAAAGCAAATAGTTTAATAATTAATAGTCAATTGTAATTTATTATGATTGTTTATTATATAGACAAATTAAAAGAATTAGCAGATTTTTAAATAACTTCATTATTATAAAAAAATTATTTATTATATAAAATTAATTAAATTTAATAATCAAACATCCTATTAATCTAAAATAATGATAAACTGAAAGTA